TGTATACCCTTACGGCAGGGGATAGTCTAATATTGTAGACTCGTTGAGGGTATATATATATATATATATATATATATATATATATATATATTATTGATGTGATTTGATGCTGACTTGATGTGGACTTATCTGCCTGCCTCAGCTGTGAAGATGTGTCTTACTGAAACTTTGAATATAAGTCACAGTCATTGGCATTGTTCCACTATATCATATATATTCACAGCAACGATATAATTTAGCCAAGTTATCCCAACTAAAGTCTTCAGTTCTGATTGTTATTTGGTCAGAATATCAACAAGTTGGGACACTTAGATCCATTAGATTCTTTAGTAACAATGAATTGGTTTTTCTAAAACTTAAAATGGGCTTTTTCGTCAGGTTATCCTTACCAAAGTATCCAGTTGAGATTGTTATTAAACTGCCAGTATTATTTCTGAAATTCTTATTATTATTATTCATATTATTATTTTTTATTTATTATAATTTCAACTTGAACTGAGATTTAATCTGCAAGCGTATGCAATCTTCGAACTGACCAAGATAGTTTTTTTTTGCTTGGCTTACGTTTTTTTTGTTGCTGGCCAACAGCGAGAGGCATGCCTTGTCGGTGCTTTGTTGTTGCATGATCAGCGCTGCCTCGCTGAAAAGCGAAAAAAAAGCAACAAAAAATTTGTTGAAGATGCGCGCTTGCAGCGTTTTCTGCGAAAGCTCGTTGCGCTTATTTGCCTTTGTCTTCGTGACGCCACGACATAGAATATACATACAACAACAACTACAACAACAACAACAGCAACAACAACTGCAACAAAAACAGCAACAACAACAACTTATGAAAGAAAGTTGCCGCAAGTTGCAGAATTGTTTTGCAAAATCCGCGCACGTAACCAAGCGATCGCTCTGCCTATGGCCAACACGAGGCATGGCTTGAGGAGGGGGTAGCGGATGGCAGCGTATGCCGTATGCTATATGGTCTATGGTATATGGTATATGGTCTATGGTGTATGGTCTATGGTGTATGGAGTATCTGTAATGAGCTGCGTGATTTTAATGGCCAGTCGCAAATGAATTTATTAAGCGCTTTTACACAATTTCATTGTAAATTGAACGCGTGCCGCGACTGAATTGTCGCAAAACAGTTATGAATTATTTATGTAGCAACGTTGCAGCTAACAACCGGCAACCGCCAATTGGCAACTTTAAATGTAGCAAACAGCAACAGCTCTTGTCACAGCAGCAACAACAACAGCAACAGCAACAACACACTTGGCTAATCTATGACACCTAATCATCGACGGCGGGCAGCTGCTGTTGCATCTGCATACAAACAGATATGCATATATGTATAAATAAATATATATATATATATATATATGTAGAGCTGCGTATATGTCAATATGTATTTGACGAACTTTCACCGCAGGTTTTTTGTTTTGTTTTGTTTTTTTTTTTGTTGTTTTGTTTAGAGATCAATGTACTTGTCTCGGTTCAAATTGTGGCAGCAACTAGCTGGCGGCAATAACGGCCGACGCCTTATAATTTTTGTTGATCAGAATCTGCCCACTTCGATACGAGTGATGGAGCTGTAGAGAGGGTGGGGGAGGGAGGGAGGGGGAAGCATGCTGAGCAAACATTGATTCTATGTAGGTAAAAAACAAGGCATGCTTAATGCCCTTTTAAATCTTTTGTTATTTTACAACAAAAATCTATGGCTTTTAATGTTGCTGTTGTTAGTGTTGTTATTGTTGTTGTTGTTATTGTTGTTGTGGCCGCAGGCAAAGGTACAAGCGAAGAGCGATGGGCAGCAGAACTCAGCAAATCCAGATGGTTTGGCCACAGAGTTAAAAATCTTTTCCACGAAATGAAAATACACACAAAACAGACAGACAGACAGAGCTAGAGGGAAAAAGAACAAGCACGAGAAGAAGAAGAAGAAGAAGAAGCAGAAGCAGAAGATGATGATGATGATGAAGAGGTCTGGAGGCGGGGAGCGCACATAAACGTGAGCAACAACAACAGCAGCAACATGCACAGCCAGAACCGGCTAAGCGAGTCTCAAAACCGAAACTGAGAACTGAGAACCGAACTGAGAGTCTGAGTCTGAGTCTGCGTCTGAAGAGTTCGAAGTCTGTTTGCTGCTGCGGCTGCTGCTGCTGCTGCTGCTGTTGGAGTCTGCGCCTAGACTCGAGTCTCTAGCAGTTGCAGCATTCAAATCGATTATGCAGCCGTTTGACTTGCCACACGAAAATGCGTCGTGCTTGCAGCGGCAGCAGCATCAGCATCAGCTAACCCCAGCCTCACATTCTCCCCTGCAACCCCCCTGCCAAGAAACAAACTTTAACCGTAGATCGAAGAAAAAACACAATATTTAGAAAGTCAGCACCGCACAGCGAAGCTTGGAATGCGGTTGGGTCTATTAATCAGCACGTCAGCAGCACAGCACAGACACAGAAACAGAGAGAGAGAGAGAGAGAGAGAGAGAGAGAGAGAGAGGGTGCGAGCAGGAGGTGAGGCGGAAAGTAGTAGGGGGTCGCTAGAGCTCTCACTAGAGGGCGAAGTTGAAGATAAAGTTGAGATGCTGTCTTCTTGATGGCTCTGCACAAAACACAATGTCGCCATATGTGAGTGTTGCTAACCTCAAGCAACTACACTCCCTCTCCGCCTCTTTTTTGTCGTATAGTACGTGCAAGTTCGCTGCCTAAGTCTTTTGTTTTAATGATTCACAACGCTTGAATTATGACTTTGATTTGTTGCCAAACAGAGATGGAGCGAGTGCGAGTCGCTTGCTCATTAGCGTCGAGACACTTAGCCTAAGGATTACAAATTAGCCTTTTTGCCACACACAACATGACACACACACACACACACACACACACAGCGTCACTGCGCAATGCGGGCGTGTCCACAGCCCAGCAGAAAAATCGCATATGCAACATCTGAAGCATTTCACAAGAAACTCAACACAGCCCCCTTAGCCACTGCCACTGCCACTGCCAATGCTTGCTGCTTGTTGCTTGCGGCCTTTTCGTGTCTCAAGTTTCAGTCGAAAGGAGCAACATGAAAAACGCTGCTGATAAATTGTGCGCGATAAAGCAGCCGCGGCTTGAAAAGGGTTTCATGCGGCGCGGTATGAGAAATGCCAACGCAAAAGAGCAACTTGCTGATGCTGCAACTCTGCTGCTGCTCGCTGCTTTCAACTGGCCAGCGGGCCAAACAACAACAAGAAAAGAAAAAACAAAGCCAAAGAATTTGTACGAAAATTGTTGCGCTTCGATTTGCCAGCAGGCAAGCAGCCGAGCAGCCGAGCAGCCAAGCAGCCAAGCAGCCAAGCAGCCTCTTTTGATCAATGTCCGCCTTGTGTTGGGACTCGAGTCTTGGTCTGGGTCCCAGTCCCAATGTCAACTGCAGGCTCACCTTTGTATTTTGTATTTTGTGTGCTGTTTTGTGTGGTGTTTTGTTTTAGCCCTGGTCCGCTGTCTTTGGGCGCTGCATAACTGCAGGCATTCTCCAGCTTTTTTTTTTTTTAAATGTATTTCTTTCTCGTTTCCCAAGCCTCAGCGAAGAATTTCGCATTTCTGGCGACAAACAAAATATTTCTGCCAATATTTCGTTTCAATCTTTGCTCATAATTATTGTTTGTTTTTTGCTTTTTTTTTTTCGTCGAAATGAAATCAGCCAAAATGCGCCATATTTATGGCTATCGAATTTTTTCCTCTTCTCGTCATTTTGAACTCTTTCAGTTTCTTTTTGCTTTTCTTGCTGATAATTAGCTGAGTGACGGGTGGGTGTGGAGCCCACCACCACCGCTGGCCGTGGTCCGTAGGCCGTGGTGCAGCAAGTGGGTGTTCGACAACTCCGACTCTGACACACGGCACACTTTTGCAGCCCACACATATATGGTTGCAACGTACAACGTAAGACCCGCGACCCACGTAACCCTTTCCTAATAGATTCTACTCGCTCACATCTCTATTATAATCATCATCAACTGGCAGTAGTTGTAGAAGTAGTAGTTGTAGTAGTAGTAGGCCATGCAAATCAATGGCAGATGCTTAGGCTGGCAGGCTAAAACAGGTCGCTGACTAATGATAACAGACGGAGTCACAGTCGGGCCCGACTCTCCGGGCCTGTCTCCGTCTCCATCTCCGTCTCAGTCTCTGAATCGAAATCTGAATCTGCGTGGGCTGCTAATTATTGAAAACGCCAACTGAACTTGTGACTTGGCAGCGCCCACTTACTCAATGTTGTTGTTATTGTTGTTGTTGTTGTTGTTTTCACTGTCGTTATTTAAGTTTGTTTATTTAAGTTGTTGTTTTCATTGCTTCCGAGCGTTAAATACAAAAGACTTAGGCAACAAACTTGCGCTCTCTGTTGCCAGCCTTTGCTATTTCCGTCTATAATTCGAATGAATTTCGTTTGATTTTAATTTTAATTTTAATTTCTTAGCATTTGCATTCACCTGTAGCACATAATTCAACACCTACCTGCGTCTAATTAGACAACGGCTCGAAATTAAATTTAGCCCACACATTGTGCCTTATTTTTTTTGTTATTTTGTTTTTTTCTTTTTTTCTGGTTGTTGTTCCGCTGAAATCAAGCGTGAAATTTCGTTGCTTTCACTGTACCAAATAATCAAGTCCCTGAGTAAAACATTATCTTTCCATAGGAAGTGATGTAAAATAGTTCAAATAAATATTATAAATGATTTTATTTTCCCTTTACCAACTTTTATTTATTTCTTATTCTCTTTTTATTAAATATGCAACTATTAGAAATATTTAATTAGTTGAAAACTATAAATGAATTGTAAAGTGAAGTTAGAAGACTTTTTCATCTATTTCTCTAAAGTTTTAAATATTTGATTTATGTTTATGTATTTTAAAGCATTTCTCGAACTGGTCTCGCTTCAAATGATGATTCTTCTGGCCAAATCTTGACTTCATTTGACAATATTCGCTATCAAGTCAACTAAAAGCCAACTTTTATTTATTCTCTGTTTGCAGTTTGCATTGGCACAAAGAGTCGTCTATCGGTGCCCTCGAATCGGGATCATCATTATCGCAATCTGCGCGATCGTTACACAAATTGCACCTATGTCGATGGCAATTTAGAGTTAACCTGGCTGCAGGATGCCACTTTGGATCTCAGCTTTCTGGCCAACATACGTGAGGTGACAGGCTACATACTGATCAGTCATGTGGATGTGACCAATGTGATATTCCCAAAGTAAGTAAACAACAACAACAGCAGATGACAATTCTCTAAATTCGGCACATTTTGTTTTTGGCGTAGACTTCAAATAATACGCGGACGAACGCTATTCAGCGTGAACGGTGAGAAGGAGAAGTATGCCTTGTTTGCCACCTACTCGAAGATGAACACGCTGGAGATGCCCGAGCTGCGGGACATACTGCAGGGCTGGGTGGGATTCTTCAACAACTACAATCTGTGCCACACGCGCACGATTGTCTGGCGCGAGATTCTGTCGGGCGTCAAGGATGATTTCAATTACACGTACAATTTTACGGCGGATGAGCGCACCTGTCCCAAGTGCGACAGTTCCTGTGAGACGGGCGCCTGCTGGGCCGAGGGTCCGGAGAACTGCCAGAAGTTCAGCAAGATCACGTGTGCCCCACAGTGCGCCCAGGGTCGCTGCTTCGGTCCGGGGCCGCGAGACTGCTGTCATCTGTTCTGCGCCGGAGGGTGTACGGGACCCACGCAGAAGGATTGCATTGCGTGCAAGAATTTCTTCGACGATGGCGTCTGCAAGGAGGAATGCCCGCCGATGCGCAAATACAATCCATCCAACTATGAGCTGGAGCCGAATCCCGAGGGCAAGTACGCCTATGGAGCGACCTGCGTCCGCGAATGCCCCGGCCACCTGCTGAAGGACAATGGCGCCTGTGTGCGCAGCTGTCCCTCCGACAAGATGGCCAAGGATGGCAAGTGTGTCGCCTGCAATGGGCCATGCCCCAAGACTTGCCCGGGCGTCTCAGTGTTGCACTCGGGCAACATTGATTCGTTTAAGAACTGCACCGTCATCGAGGGCAATATCAGGGTGCTCGATCAGACCTTCTCCGGCTATCAGGATATCTTCTCCAATTACACAATGGGACCGCGCTATATACCCATGCATCCCGATCGCCTCGAGGTCTTCTCGACAGTCAAGGAGATCACCGGCTACCTCAACATTGAGGGTGTCCATGACAACTTCAAGAATCTATCCTACTTTCGCAATCTGGAGGTCATACATGGCAGACAGCTGATGGAGAGTTATTTTGCCGCCTTATCGATTGTCAAGTCCTCGCTGTCCAGCCTGGAGTTGCGCAATCTGAAGCGCATCAACTCGGGCAGCATCGTCATCCAGGACAACAGCCACCTCTGCTATGTGGGCAACATTCGCTGGCCCACGCTGCAAAAGCTCGACGAGCAGAAGCAGTTCATCAATAAGAATCGCAATACAACCGCATGTCGTAAGTACTCTCGCATATAGAATTCTCTTAATCAAAACCATTCCTAACACATCCCAAAACCCAAATATCTCCGCTAGTCAAAGCCGGTCAGGTCTGTTCGGATCAATGTAATGGCGATGGCTGCTGGGGCGCTGGACCAGACGAGTGCCTCAACTGCAAGAGTTTCAACTACAACGGCACCTGCATTGCCGACTGTCGCAATGTCTCCAAGTAAGTAACATTCTTGATTCATCATTAAATATATATATAATATAATAGTAATATATTCCTGATCAGCGAGTAGTTGTGTCTATCACTATCTCCATCTCCGATCTCAGAGATTATAATGGCTAGAGAGATCATTTTTAACAGTCAAAGTTGTCGATAAACTAAAATGAACTTGACCTGAGTGGAGTATAAAATATAAATAAAGTGAAATTATAATAATTATATATCAATTATTATAATAATTATATATCATTATATATATATATTTTAACTCGTCAAGTTCATTTCAGTTCATCGATAAGAAAGACTTAAGAAATAGAAATTGAAGAACATGTTGCGATTTATCTTCAGTAAAAGCTTAGGTTCACTTTATCTCCCAGTCTCCCAACTCTCGACTAGAGTATTTTGAATTGTTTTATCTGTTGTGGGCAGTTACTAACTAACTGAATGTTCCTCCTCCACTTTGCAGCACTTATCAGTTGGATTCGAAGACGTGCAAGAAATGCGATCCGGAGTGCCGTACCTGTTCCGGACCCGGTGCCGAGCACTGCGATGAGTGCGTGCACGTCCGGAATGATCAGCATTGTGTGACCGTCTGTCCGGATGACAAGTACTCGGACTTTGGCATCTGTCGCAAGTGCCACGAGACATGCACCGGCTGCACGGGACCAAGGAATACGATTGGACATGGCGCCTGTAATACATGCAGTCTGGCGATCATCAATGCGGATGCGACTGTGGAGCGTTGTCTGCGCAAGGACGACAAGTGCCCCGACGGCTACTACTGGGAGTATGTGCATCCGCAGGAGCAGGGCTCCCTCAAGCCACTCGCAGGCAAAGCGATCTGCCGCAAATGCCATCCGCGCTGCGAGCTCTGCACCAACTATGGCTTCCACGAGCAGGTCTGCTCCAAGTGTGCCGGCTACAAGCGACGCGAGCAGTGCGAGGACGAATGCCCAGCGGATCACTATGCGGATGAGGAGAAGCGCGAGTGCTTCGAGTGCCATCCGGAGTGCAAGGGATGCACGGGACCCAGCTCCGAGGACTGCCTCGCCTGTCGCAACTTCAAGCTGTTTGCCGGGAGCGGAGTCTATGACAATTCCACGGAGTTCAACTGCACCTCCAAGTGTCCGGCGGAGCTGCCGCATGTCAACTATCAGTCGCACTTCATTGGGCCGCATTGTGTGTCCAGTCCGCCCCGGGGATCGAAGATGAATGCCGGGCTCAACGTGAACACGATTGTCATTATCTTTGTGGCTGTATTTATACCCGTGATCTGTGTGCTCTGCGTCATCATCTACATCTGCCGGCAGAAGCAGCAGGAGAAGAAGGAGACGGATGACTTGGCCAAGGTGTTCTTCGGCTGTGAGGATTCGGAGCCGTTGCGTCCCTCCAATATTGGCGCCAATCTCAGCAAACTGCGCATTGTCAAGGATGCCGAATTGCGCAAAGGCGGTGTTCTCGGCATGGGCGCCTTCGGGCGTGTCTACAAGGGCGTCTGGGTGCCAGAGGGCGAGAATGTCAAGATACCCGTTGCCATCAAGGAGCTGCTAAAGACATCCGGCGCCGAGTCGAGTCAGGAGTTCCTCAGTGAGGCCTACGCCATGGCCACTGTGGAGCATGGCAATCTGCTCAAGCTGCTGGCCGTTTGCATGTCATCGCAGATGATGCTGATCACCCAGCTGATGCCGCTGGGCTGCCTGCTCGACTATGTGCGCAACAATCGCGACAAGATCGGCTCCAAGGCGCTGCTCAACTGGTCCACCCAAATCGCCAAGGGTATGTCCTATCTGGAGGAACGTCGTCTCGTCCATCGTGATCTGGCCGCACGTAATGTTTTGGTGCAGACGCCATCGCTGGTCAAGATCACCGACTTTGGGCTGGCCAAGCTGCTCAGCCTGGACTCCAATGAGTATAAAGCGGCTGGCGGCAAGATGCCCATCAAATGGCTGGCTCTGGAATGCATTAGGCATCGGGTCTTCTCCAGCAAATCGGATGTTTGGGCCTTTGGCGTGACCATTTGGGAGCTGCTGACCTTTGGCCAGCGACCGCATGAGAATATACTGGCCAAGGATATACCGGATCTGATCGAGATGGGTCTCAAGCTGGAGCAGCCAGAGATCTGCTCCCTGGACATCTACTGCACGTTGCTCTCCTGCTGGCAGCTGGATGCCGATCTGCGTCCGCCGTTCAAGCAGCTGACGAATGTGTTTGCGGAATTTGCACGCGATCCGGGCCGATATCTGGCCATACCCGGCGATAAGTTCACACGCCTGCCAGCCTATACGAGCCAGGACGAGAAGGATCTCATACGCAAGCTGGCGCCGACAACGGACGGCTCCGAGTCCATTGTCGAAGCGGATGACTATCTGCAGCCAAAGGCAGCAGCCGGTCCCAGCCATCGCACAGACGGCACCGATGAGATACCCAAACTCAATCGGTATTGCAAGGATCCCAGCAACAAGAACAGCAACAGCAGCGGAGGCGGCGGCATCAACGGTGACGATGAGACCGACTCCAATGCCCGTGAAGTGGGCGTTGGCAATCTGCGACTCGATCTGCCAGTCGATGAGGATGACTATCTGATGCCCACGTGCCAGACCAATCCAAATGGCAGCAACAACAACAACAATAACAGCAACAATCCCAACAACAACATGGCCACAGCAGCCACGGGCTACATTGATGTCATTGGCGTAAGTATTAAAATAACATTCTTTACTCAGATCAGCCAGTTAATAAATCGAGTTGCAAACATCTTAAAGGATTCCTTAAAAAATAGAAGACATTCTGTATCTTTTAAGGTAATAAATACTAATCGATTGCTTGATCTTTTGCAGGTGCCTGCGAGTGTGGATAATCCCGAGTATCTGCTGAACGCACTGAGCGCTGGCGAGGCGCCGATCCCAACACAAACGATTGGCATACCGGTGGCGGGTGTGCCCAGCACCATGGAGGTGAAAATGCCGGGCAGCGAATCGACCAGCTCCGATCATGAGTACTACAATGATACGCAGCGGGAGCTGCAACCGCTACAATTGCTGCGCAGTCGCAACACGGAGACGCGTGTGTAGCACACAGTTGCCAGTTGCCAGTTGCCAGTTGGGGTTGCAGTTGCAGGTGCATCGCACACACTTACTGCCAGAATGTAACAAACTCAACCAACAAGTTAAACAATGAAAAAGAATGAAACATTGGATATCAATCTTGCCACGTAGTACCCAAGTGCCTTTGAACCCATCGCCAGATGTCAGTTGCCAGTTGCCAGCTGCCAGTTGCCAGTTGCGGAACGGCAGCTGAGGTGTGCCTTCTGAATGCTGTTATCATAGATAAAACCAATTCGTGTCTAGTTGTATAAAACCCATATATATATATCTCCTGTACATTACTATCTATCTATCAATCTATCTATATAACTCTCTATCTTTATCGTACTTAGCCGTTTAGTCTTTTCCCCTCATCCGCTTCTTCTGTCTAACTTTTCTATATTATCAATATCTACACATATTGTTTTTAATGTCCAGTCGCTGATCAGCGCTTGTAGATTTGTATGTAATTACGAGAACAAAACACCGATAGTGCATTTCTTAGACGCCAGCGAAGCCAGCGAATTGAACTTTGTACAAGCCGCTCCATTTGGGGGCCATTGGTTCAATGGTTCTGGTATTGCGTTGGGCGTTCACTAAGCTAAAATTATGTTTTCTAGTTCATGTAGTGGACTGTCGCAGTTGTACCCATCATAATCTTCTTATATATATATATATATATATATATATAAACTTATTTAATAATATATACGAGTTATAGGCTTTTAGTTAATAGTTTTCAACTGTGATATAGTTCGTAGGGAACTCTGAATAATAAAAGAATTTTACATACTTCTGAATTAACTCAAACGATATGCAACCCACTGTATACATTGTTAATAGCCACTCAGATCTAATGCAGTTTATGGGCCTAGTTTCATTACCATTCGAAAACAAAAAATAATAGAACCGATTTGATTTGAGAAACAATAAATCCCGAGCGTGCCATGCATCGATTATGCAATTCTCCTAAAGATTTCGAGTATTTCGAGTTGGCACATTAAGGTTGAAACTGAAATATAAATGTAAGCCTTAGTCTAATATATATTGATCAAAGATATAATTATGTAAAAAATATATACAATATATACGATTACAATACTGAAACGTATGCAGCTAATATCTAATCTTTACGCCTACTTCTTATACACATGTAGATTTGTACTTTGCATATACAATAATACATATATATATATATATTTTAATTTAATTTAATTGAAATTAATTTACGAGTACCTACGCAAAGATATGCCTAAACGAGTAAATAAAACGATTTTAAAATAAATGAACGAATTGTCATTATTCTCATGCAAATTGTGGTTACTGGGCCAAAGCAGATCCAAAACGTTCTCGTTCCGAGCTGTTAGTGATTTTGCATTTTGTCACGATTCAACTTCAATTACTTTTCAGGGATATATAGGTACCCCAAAAATCCTTAAATGTGTTGGATAGAGGATGTCGCATGTTAAGATTTGGCTGAGTTTGAGCTATTTCTGATTTCATTTGATAGCTCAAACATAGGATACATATTCTTGAGCTCGCAGTAAAAAGTAAAGCATTCAAAGATTTCCAGCTTTCGATAAAAAAAATATGGTTACATATATCATAAGAACTCCCTTGTAAACCATAACTCGTTCTTAAATTGGACCAACCCTCAAAAGTATGCTTTAATTATTTTGGTTTTCTGTTACTCGCTTAAGCCACTGATTTTTCTGGGCAGCCTAAAAGTATGTTTTAAAATGTTGGTTTTATTGTCAAGCTTTTGCGCCACCTGTCGACATTTTGTGTAAAACATGTCTCGGCACTATTGCGCCCGTTCCCGCTGACCGAAAGGTGGCGCTTTGTTCGAATTAAGCCGTTAGCCAGAGAAACGCATAAATTCACTTTGTAATTTTTTTTTTATTGTTTATATTTTGAAATATGCAATTAGACAATTTAATGGATTTCGCTAAAAGTGGGCGCAAACTGTGTTTTTTTGTTGTTTTTGTTTTTGTTTTTGTTTCGTTTTATTTCCTTTTTTGATATTGAGTATATATATGTTGCACATAATGTAGAGCTTGTCGGTATGTATGTTTATGTATATGTATTATATGTATGTATGCATATTGAGAAGTTAATCCATAGTTTACATTCATTAAAAGTTCAATTACATCAATTATGTACTACAAAACTATTGCTGTGAGTTAATTTATTATAGTTGCTTAGTTTGTTGCGATAGCTACACATATATGTACGTATAATAAGTTATGCTTTGAGACAATTCCCGAGAACTGTCTGTCTGGCTAGTTTTAGGCAATTAAATAACCGAAAGTATACAATTATAACCATCTGGGAGCACTTAAAACAAGTAGAATACCTAATCAAACTATGCCGAAAGACTACGCCAAACTACTCAACTCAACTCAAAGGCCATAAACAAATCAGTGCTGGGCGCTCTGGGCTCTACCTAAAAATACTAATGGAAATACTAGCATATCTTATTTATGATGTGCACGTGCTTCTTAGTATGTGTCTAGGTGTGTGTGTGTGTGTGTGTTTATGTATGTGTGTCTAGGTGTGTGTGTGTGTGTGTGTGTGCGTGTGAACGGGCTGGGTTTGATTGCCAGCAAAAACCTAATTGATATAAACATTAAATAACATTTGGATTCAGAAATTTGCAAAGAAAACCCCCCGCCGCACTCCGCACTCCGCACCCCATTCCCCATCGCCCTTGCCTTCAGAAGACGCCCATTTCTCCCCCGCCCCCCTCCCCCATCCTGGTAGAGATGCCCCCGTCTCCCGATAAATTAGCCAAAGGGGTAGCAATTAGTGCGCAACTCGCACATAGATTACGATTACACAGTGCCCAGAACGTTGACGCAGACGTTGACCTGGACATGGGGTCTATCACATTGGAACGCGACGGACGAGCAAATACTCGGAGAACTGCTGACCCTCGACCCCGCCCCCAGTGCTCGCCTCGATGGTGAAGCCGGCGTTTAGCAGCCGCGTGAGCACCTGAACCGAGTTCAGCTTACAATAGCCGTTGAGGGGGAAGCGTATGATTTGGCGCCAGTCGCCCTGGTTCCAGGAGACGCCACTGCGACTGGACTGCGTTGCCTGGTTGGCCTCCGGGAAGAGCTCGTCGAGCAGTGCCCGTTCCGCCGATAGCATAATGCGTTCGCCCAGATCCGGTGAGATGTGCAGCGCCACAACCTCATAATTGCACTCAGGCGCACCGCTTGTCCTTGGGCTGGTCTTAATGTGACGTGCTGGCGGTGTGGGTGGCGCCACCAAATAGTTGCCATTACGAACACGCTCCTTGCGCATACTCTCCAGCTGCTTAATCATCGCTGCCATGGGGCACAAAGAATCGAGAATAGAGAAAATATGCACGCATTAGCCACGGGTTAGTTTTATTTACACTTTAACAAAACATTTTCATTATCATTTTAAATTCATCATTCTTTTTTTTTGTGCTTTAAAAATAAAACTAAAATTGGAATTCCATTTGCTCAACATCAACACAGCGAAATCATAATCAAATAATAATGAAAACAATCGCTTTATTTTTGGCTTCAATTTGTTAATTAAAATTATTGTATGCATTTTATTGGAATTTCATTGGAAATATTTCGAATTCAAGCAGAAATTTTGAACAGTGTAAGTGTACTTACGCTCCACTTCGTAGTAGCGCGCCTCCTCGAGGAGCAGCTCGAGATCGGGAAAATCATCGGCAATCAATAGTCTTGAGTTTCTCATAAAGTTTAGTATATGGCGAAACATGCCCCCGTCCCGATCGATGAAATAGTGCTGCTTCAGCGAGTCGAGCACAATGGGTATCTGTCCATTGAATAGCTTGGCCAGCTTCGACTCGGGATATTTGGTAAGCGTCTCCAGGGAGCTAGTGTAAATTGTGCCGCCGACATCGATGTGGACCGGCGCCGTATATCGCGAGGCGGCTGCCACACACGGTATGCCAGAGATGGGCTTGTGGTTGTGCAAATAGGAACTGGCTCCGGCCGAGGCGCCACCAGGTCCGGCGCCCGCGGCAGCCGCAGCGGCAGCGGCCACAGCGGCAGCCGCCGCCGCACCAGGCAGACCCAGCGGCGTCACTGAGGAGCTGGCGGGCGGCGTCGGTGTGGGCGATGAGGAATTTGAGATCGTTGGCGAAACGGTGGGCGAAGCGCTGCGAGAAAAAAAAACAAATAACAATTTTAACATTATCCAAGTAAGATATAGTTGAGATACAGTTAGTCGACTGAACGATAGCCTGTATAAAGTTAAGTGAACTCCATTTCCATTTAAAAGTCTAAAGTTTTTAGATCTTCAATTACTTAATGAAATTGATTCAGCTGCGTTGATGAGCCAAATACATTTTTCTGTTCCCTCTGGAACGTCAAGTTACTTTATCCCACTTGCTCTTAGTCGTTGTACTACTAATTATTCCCTGCATGAAGTAATCTGTAATGCTTACAACAGACTCTATCACTCTGAATTGATAATCAGAGTCCTCAAATTCTAAAATTATGAATAACTTTTCCGCATGTATTTGTGATGGGACTCAACTAATTCATACTAATTATTTTTGTCTAATTGATCTAATTCAGTTTTTCTGGGTTTTCCCCAATTCACGCAACACATGTTGGACCATTCTGCAGTTAAATACCCCCAGAAGTATTATAAATATTTATTTTTTTAAATATATATAAATATATATTTTTAAAGTTGATCATACATTTACGTTAGCTTAAATTTTTTTAACTTTTAAATAAATAAATAAATATATCTAATAGTCTCTGAGAGAGCTATTGATAGTGATATATAATTCATCTGCCTGTTGCATGCAATTGCATAATTTAATCATTTTTTTTCAATGGACTCAGGCAAATTGCAAAGGTGTTTGGGTGTGGAGATCATGGTCTTACCTGATTTTAATATCGCTGCGGGTGTAGATGCGGCCCGTGGAGGATAAATCGCGCGGCTCGAGGCCCTTTGCATCTCTTTCGCGCTCTCGATCCATATCGCATTTTTTGCTACAATTCCAAAGCGAAAAACGAAATAAATAAGACAGATTAGTGAGACACACAGCGCAGCTGGATGGGTTAATGCAAGGCTGTGAATCAAAATTGACTACAGCTTGTTGATTACATGCAGTCATGGCCAAAAAGAGAGACAGCCCGACTGGCAGAGCAAACGTGACAAAGCAAATGCCCAACGCAAATGCTTCGAGGGCTCTTGGCTCGCATACAACTTAAGTTAAGAGCTTTTCCCATATATATATAATACGGAATATTCCATATGATTGTGTGGGAATATTTGGCTTTTCATTGCGTTCAACTCACTTATGCTGAAACTCCCCAAACACACTCACACACACAAACATAGCCTGCAGGTGCAGTTGCAGTTGCTGTTGCTGTTGCTGTTGCTGTTGCAGCCACGACAAGACACTGCGAACAAAAATAGTGGGTGAAGTGGTGTTTGGGGTTGGGGCGGTGAGTGGAGGTACAGTTGACTGACTGTACAGTCAAATTGACCACGGGGCATGCGCCTCGATTTTCACACGAAAATCACGTTGATTTGAGCATCGTTATGGCAACAAACTGTGCGCGCTGCGGTCGCCCTCAGACAACTGCGTGCAGCAACCAGCAACAAGCAGGCAACAGGCAACAGGCAACCAGCAACAGGCAACAGGCAACAAAGAACATCCGACAAGCGACGGCATCGGCATTGGCATCGGCATCGGCATCGGCATCACGCACGCTAATTATGACATGTCAGGCCCTGTCCAACATGACGTATACGCAATGTAATCTGAGCCACAATCAACGCTAAGCGGCCAACGCATTTTCCTTGACTATCGCCTTCTCCCTCTAATTCATTCGCTGTCTTTGTCTCTTACATCATCATCATCAGCAGCAGCAGCGGCAGCAGCAGCAGCAGCGGCAGCAGCAGCAGCAGCGGCAGCAGCAGCAGCGGCTCTCTTAGCTGTCGCATCATTAGCGGTCGTCATGGATAACAAATTAATAAAACTCAATCAAAACTTGTGCCGCGGGTTACAGGAGTGGCGGGAATAACTCAGCCTTACCACTTCCACCTGGCATTGGGGCAATTTTACGACTGTCGCTTAGTCATCGGCAAATATGCCATTTTCAATTATTTTAATATGTTTTATGCTGGCCTAAACAATTATTAAAATGGCAACGCTAATTGTATAAATGATACGTGTATAAATATTAATTATATTTAATGTTGAATTGCTTATAAAGATGGATAAAAGCGAACTATAAAGTGAAGTCTCAGCTTAATTGCGATCCATTTACAGGGTATATTCGAATCGTTTATTCTTAGCTGGCTAATTTGTTTTTCTCTTGTTTAATCTGTTATGCGCATTAGGCCACAGAGCAATTGCCAGTTGTCAGACGTCCGGTGATGCATTCAGTTTACTCAATTCCCCGCTATCCACCGCCCCCCACCCTTCGAGCCACTCCTCATCCTTTGGCTCAGCGTATTTACTAAACAAGTTTGCTTTTTAAAATGTTTTAAGCCCTTGGGCCATATGGCTCTGGTAATTACGATTTGATTAACTTTAACTACATGAGCATTCGCATACACATTCAGACTCACATTCGCATATTATTCGTATTAGTATTCGTATTCGTATTCGTATTCGTATTAGTATTCGCACTGACATTCCTATTCGCATTCGAGACGAGAAAAAAAATGCCAAAGCGACGCTGAAAATATGATTAAGCCAGAAAGCACAACGCATATGGTATACCCTTGCTGACCAGAGTCCAACTGAATGATGGATGGATGGAAGCATAATGACATGCATACCTACTGAGTTCATTTAGAATAACTTGGTTAACAAATATAACTCACTTTCGACCGATCGTTTCTATATCAGCTATAAGATATTGTGATTCAATCAGACCAGTCCAGCATAGCTTTAAGGCTGGGCAGACAGACAGATAGACAGACCGGTACTCGTCTGCTGATGCTGATCAATAATATATATTATTTATGGGTTCAAAGACGACTCCTTCAATACGTTACAAACATGACGATATAATCATATTTCCCACGGCAAGTGTATAAAAAGAAGTATTGCTAAAAAACAAAATGTCCGCGGGACAATTCTCATGGCAAGTGTGTGTGTGTGTGCAGCTGCCTCGCGTTGGTGGTTTTCACATTTTTATTAATTTACAACAATTATAAAGCATGCGGCCAATGAATATGGCTTAAATGCCACAAGAGCAACAACAACAGCAACAGCAACAACAAGTCGAATAAGAACAAGGGGAACATATGCAGAACAGCATTTGAGGTCTGCTTGCCACAAAACAATTCAATTTCAATTGCTTTGCGGTTCACTTGAGGCTGCCTGCATGCAGGTTGCAGTTAGCTTGGCACAGGTGCAGCAGGCGCACCAACGAGCAGTCACACACACACACACACTGTTAACGGTATTGTATATGGGCACAAGAGCACACACAAACACAGACCAGAGACACACGGCTGCTTTGCAGTTTTGCCAGCTATTCTAGTCCAATAGTGCCACAGGCATTATCTTTTCTATGCGCCCCAGCACAGACCACAACAGCAGACACACACAAAAAGAGAGACAGAGACAGAGAAAGAGAGAGGGAGAGGGAGCGGGAGAGGGAGATGGAGAGAGGGGCGCCATTCGCAGCGCCTTTGGTTACACTTCAGTTTAGCATCAAATTTTGAAGAGTTGCTGTTGCCAAATGTTGTTGTTGTTGTTGTTGCTGTTCTTGTTGTTGTTGCTCTTCTTGTCTGCCTAAAAGAGCCGTAGAACGAGCCCAAGCCCAGGACTGTGCCTTGCCTCGGCCTGTGTCTGTGCTAGTGCCTGTGCCTGTCAAGCTGCTGCTGGTGCTGGTGCTGCTCCTGCATTTGCATTTCAAGTGGGCGTCTCTGGTTGTGGCTACCATAATACGCCCCTCCGCCCCCCTTCCACACGCCCCTTGGCCGGAACTAGTATCTGACATCTTTGGTTTGCCTTTTAATGGCATTGCCATTAACTCAGCTCTGCTCCACTTGCTTAGCCAGTTTGACCAATATTCAGTTTCATGGTACACATGCCACACAGAGATAGAGCCAGACAGAGACAGACAGAGAGAGAGAGAGAGAGAGAAAGAGAGAGAGAGAGAAAAAGAGAGAGAGAGCGAGAGACAATATATGTGTGTAGGCTAAAATACAGCTTATTAGTTGGCATTGTTCAAATTTTGGACAAAACTATCGAGTGGCAGCTGCTGCTGCTGCTCCTCTTATTGTTGTTTTGCTGTTGCTGCTGCTGCTGCAGTGCCTCGGGTGCAAATAATTTTGCAGAGTTCGTAGCATAGACAAAAGTAGCCGCTGGCTAAGAGTTGGACTAGCTAGTCTTCTGCCCGCCTGCTCTGCCTGCCTGCTCTGCCTGGTTGCCCTTCCATTTAGCTGCCCCTCAGCCAGAGGCAGCCACACAGCTCAATCTCAAAATGCGACATGGCCGCCCCAGCAATTGGTTGTAGTCCATTCCTGCCACTCACCTCAGCTATCCCATCTCGAAAACCCACACAAAAGCGATAACAAAAGCCAAGAAATGAGCTAAAGTGCACACACACACACACACACACTAGATCAACACATGCACACATACACACACACACAGAGTGAGCTGGTGGTAGTGATACACACCTCAGCAGAGGCGAGCAGAGCTTGACGACGACGTTGACGTTGACGTTGACGTTAACGTTAACGTTGACGCTGACTATGTAACCCCTACAAAATGTCCTGCGGCCAGGCAACCTTCTGCACACAAAGGCCAGGCAGCCAGCCAGACAGTGTGTCCTGTGCTGCAGCATACCACCCCCTCCGGAGCCACAAACCCCCTCTATGTGCACTGGCAAAAAAGGGCAAAACGCTCGTCTTCGCCAGCGGCGATCGTTTGGAATTAGTGCGGAAATCATGGATGGATACGAAACGAAACCAAAACCAACAGCAAAACACCAACCAAACACCCAATCCAAGCCAAGCCAAGCCAAGCCAAGCCAAGGAGCAGCTCATATATGGCAAAGGTGCTCGGAGATTTGGTATTGGGAGCATGGGCGGAGGGGGTGTGGATTGCTCTGCTCCTAGGGCTGCCTGCTGCCTGCTGTTGTTGCACGTATATGCATGTATGTGTGTTGTATGCAGTATCTGTGTGTGCCTCCTCATTCATTTATCCTTGCAGCGCTAAAGGCAACTGCAACAACAACAACAACAACAGCAAGAGCAACAGCAACAACAAAAGAGCATGAAGCATTGGCTCTAACCACAGCAAGGCGACTGACTCCACAGCTCCACTCGGATTCTAGTTCTCCAGTTTGCTCTAGCTTCAGCTCTGCCCTCTGCTTTCTATGTTTTGTCCCAAAACAATACACCCACACACACACACACACACACACACACACACACACAGAGAGGCGAAAACTTTGAATTTTGGTTCGAGGTAAGTTGGGTGTCCGTTCTGGCTTACACACACACACACACACACACACAGGCACATTCATATGAGCTGCATATGTGTATGTGTGTGTGTGTGTGTGTGTGTGTCTGCATTTTAAGATATCATACCTTAGTTGCTGATCCCTTGCGGCAGCATAAAACATTGCTCTGAACGCAACAACAAGCGAATAATAAGAAGAAGAAATCAAAAGCCCCAAAGCTCGACAAACCAAACCAAACCAAACCAAAAAACCCAAATCCAAATCCTCTGCCTCTGCCTCTGCCGCTGCCTCAGCTTGAGCCCCAGAAACGAAAGTTTGTGGAGGCAAAAACCTTATCTCAATTTTAAAATGCCGCCGGCTCAAGCAATGCTGTTTCCCCCCCCCCCCCCTCACCGCCGCCGTCACCGTCACCCTTTCCAACCGCTGCCCGCTCGCGAGTATCTTATGTGGTGGTAGGAGAGGGGTAGGTAGGGGAGAGCGCAGTTAAAAGAGGCGGTGCGGGATCGTATCAGATGCCACCAAGTTTTTGTATGCAACTTATGGCGAATTAATTTAAGGCGGATTTATTGCCGTGCTTGTTGCAACAACTGTTTTTGGCAACAGTTTGCCGCCAATGCGGTTCAATTAGTTCTAGTGTCATGTTCTGACGATGTGGATGTGGGGGAGGCGAATTGAGGATTGTGGGTGGGTGACTGAAAGGTAGTTAAGGGCTGACAGACGCGACCCAGTGCTGGGGCAAGGCTGGAGCAGGGCTGCCAGGTTTGTGTATGTTGGCAAAGACAAACACAAAGTGCTCGCATATATATGCTTCACTGCAAACACACACACCCATACACACACACACACACACACACTCACAAATCACACAAATGGCCGCAAGGCACTTAAAGAAGAATCCAATGCCCCAAGTGTCGAGTGGATGCTGCAAACTGGCAACTGGGGAGCAGGCAACTGGGGAACTCAGGCAAAACTGGAGTTGGCGGACAAAATCAAAACGCTGATGAGCAGGCAAATGAAAAAGTTTTTTATTTTTTTTATTTGGTGGGTGGTTGGGGGCTTGTTGGACGCAGGAGGGGCACAAAAAGCCAAAGCAAAAGCTAGAAACAAAAAGGGAGCAGGGAGCAGGCATCGAGGGCAGGAAGCAGTTTGATGCAACATACACACATAGCCAAAACTTCTGCTGCTGCTGCTGCTGCTGCTGCTGCTGCTCCTGCTTCTTCTTCTTCTACTTAGCCAGCAGCAAGTTACAAAAAAGGCCACGAAACTGAAGCCGTCACCGAGGCAGCAGTTGCAGGGAGTCGCCGACGCATATGGGAAATCAGTCGCAAGTCCTATGAAAATTTGCTAGCAAAAGTTGCAGAATGTTTGCGTGTGTGTGAGTGTGTGGGTGTGTAGCTGTGTGTGTGTGTGTGCCAAATTGTACAAATATATGCGCTCTGTATGTGTGTGGCAAAAGTTGAGTTGGAGTCAAGTCGAGTCGAGTCGAGTGTAGCAGATATTAAAACGCTGCAAGGCTTTCAAAAATAAACTTTGAAAAATTTATTAGAAAATATTAAATAAAAACGACGATTGCGCTGCATATGCCAAAAGCTGCACAGAACGATTGTGTGGATGTGGCCCTGTATAAGAAACACGCCAGATGGCTATATACACTCTATATGGCTGTGTGTGGCTATATGCCAGTTTGGCTACAGCTGCCAACATGCGAATGCTTGGCTGACTTGCTGCGTTCCATGGCACAAACTCACAGACAACTTCAACAAACACACACACACACACACACACACACACACACACACTGAGAAACAAAGGCACACAACTGTTTTTATAGCTAAATGTTCAAAAAATTGAATTGCAAGTAATGCAGACAAAAAAGCAAAGGAAACAGAGCAGAAGAGCAACAAATATGCCAGAAGACGAAGACAATATTAAATTGCGTATACGCCGCATTGTGCACAGGTAAGCCAATTATATGCAGTAAAAATGTAAACACTGATTGATGGATAATAAAGGTAAACAACAATTTGAACACCGATCTTTCATATATCGAAGATAAAATACCCTGCACCAACAACTTTTAGAATTAGAAGTAAAAAAGCTACAAGAACTCAACGTTCGAGGAAATATAACAAATATATATAGATATTTTTGCCTAGTTTGCCTAGAAACTAATCGAGAGATATTAAAGATATAAGACAACTTCCTTATAACCTCGCAAAAATTATTCTGGTGACTAAATCTATGTTAAGAACTTAAGATTTATTTTATAGCTGCCAATAGCACTGAACTTATATTAACAACACCATAACTCATATTGATATTTGAATAAAATAATATAAAATTAAACTTTATTTTATTTAATACGAATTCTTAACATTTTTTGGTTTGATTGGGTTTATTTCTGAGTTCCCCCAATCCTTGTTAAAAATGTTGGTTCATTAAGTCCCTCAGATGTATTGAGTGCTTTTTCATTGAAAACAAAATATATAAATTCATTTGTATTATTATATGATTTAATTTTGATTTTAAATTTAAGTTGATATTAAACAAATATATATATATAGCAATAAAATATAAATAAATATACGTAGGCCGCCCAATTGAATCCTTTTGTGAAATCAGACAATTAAAAATTGCTTTGCAATGCGTTCAATCCTTCGCTCATGCATTCAGTCCATCATTTATGGATTGGAGCCTAATCAAGTGTACATAAAAAAGAACAACAATACTTCCAGTTGAATGCAGATCAAACAGTTGCCAGCATTACATTCAGATGCAGATGCAGATGCAGTTGCAGTTGCAGTTGCAGTTTCAGTTGCATGTGCATCCCCATTCAAGTGGCAAATTCTACTTGCAATGCGTTTCAAACTCCCTGTAACTGGTAACTGGTAAATGGCAGCCGGCAACTGGCAGCATCCAATGCGCATTTCCTAATTGGCGCAATTTGAGTGTGCATATTGCAATAACAGTATTTACAACAGCAACAACCGCTACAACAACTGGCAGCAGATGCAACACAAAGCAAAATTGGCAGCAAGTGAAACAAATGCAGGCCCAGGTGCAGCAACCCGCAGCAAAACCACAGCCAGCAGAACCAGCAACAATTGCCTTTTCACTTACCCTTTGGGCAAATCTCAAAAATGGGTATATCGAAATTATGCTGTGATATACTTGGTATACTAAGAGTTATTCAACTTTAACAATACCATTAAAAGTTAACTTAAACTCAACTTTGAGCCACATAAACAATAAAAGCTGTCTTTATCAAATAAACATTTTGTATACTCTTCATCTGCAAATTAATATCTGCCTTTAATCATTTTTTTTAATGTCAAATCTCAACTACAAAAGACAATTAACACTTCAAAATGAGATTGAATACTCAGCTACATTGCTTGAATTAAATATAGAACGAGATTATTTTTATTATCTTAATTATTAGTATTAGTTTTTGGCTTGCAGGTAAGAATTATTATTATTTGGGTTAGGCACAGGTATTTTTAAGATCTTTTATTTTATCTTACTCAGTAAGATAGAGAAAGTTTCCCAGAACTAATTTCTGACACTGATTTAGATGGTTACAAGCCGCCTAAGATTAGTTAAAAGCAGAATTAGTTTTTGCATAAAGAAAGAGCATTTCACAGTCGAGAAAAGTGAATCGTTGTAAATTGGTTGCCTGTTGGCCTGTTCGTCTCCCGACTGGCAATTGCGATGTTGCCAATGTTGGCAAATGTTGTTGCTGGTAATGATGCCCAATTGCAGCTTAATTAACACACAGCGCGTTAAGCGCTTTGTGTGCGGTGGCAGCAGCAACAGCAATAGCAACAGCAACAGCAACAGCAACCACAACCACAACAACAACAATGCTTTAAATGAGCACTCGAATGCATAACCATTTCCATTACCCTTTCCCTTTCCCTTTCCCCAGCTCCTTTGACTATTCATGTGTAATGGAAAGTTGGACGGAATGAGTATGTATTTTAAATACTGCATTTGTAGTGCAAATTCGCAACACAGAATACAACTTTCAGATTTGATTTTAGAACAATTTGAAGTTGAAGAATTTCGCGCTACGTTACGTTAAATTGTTTTACGTTACGATTGTGGCACGCAACATTAAACGGCAACCAAAACAAAATAAATAACTTTGACTTTGGCTTCGACTCCGCCTTCGCTCAAGTTAAAACCAGTTGCTTACCACAGATATTGTAAAAGAGATAGAGACTGAGAGAGAGAGAGAGAGAGAGAGATGGGCAGAGCAGTTGTCGTAGTGTCGCAACTGGTGAAGGTCGCCACATAACTCCCGAGACTCTTCCCGCCACTAGCTGCTGTTGTTGCCATTGTTTTTGGCTCCACTTGAATGCGATTTTTGTTTTGGCCAACGCTGCAGCCATGCTTTGAACTTTGCCTCCAACACTTTTGGAACTTTGTCGATTCGTCGAAATAAAACAAAACAAAAAGGAAAAAAAAAATTGTTGCTGTTGTTGTAATTCTTTTGGTGTTGTTACATGGTGAGCTCTTGGCCTGGCGGGCATTTTGGCCATGCCCGCCGCTTAGTTTTGGCTTGCAAGCGAGCCACAAACACAATCACAATCACAACAACCGGTAAATCGCCTACCCCCCCTCTCCCTCTCCCCACAACCCAAACGCCCGTCTCATCAGCCAGCGTGCTTTGTGGCCTTTTAAGGTACAAAAAATAATGCGACCTCCCACTGCAAACCCTTCCCACCGTTCTCGTTTTGTCGTCATCGTCATTTGCTGCCTCCATTGCACACACACACACACACACACAACACACATAACTCAGCTGCGGGCCAAGTTTGTCGAAAAATGCTTGCGGCGTGGTACAATTTTTTTGTTTGTAATATTTTTTCAGTTTTTTTTTTTCTTGGTACTTTTGTTTATTTCTCCTTTGGTGCGGGCCGAGCAACACTTGAGGCGCATCAAATTTTTAAAACGTCTGCGTTTATGGCACACAGTTTTCGGACTCGGACTCGGACTCCAACTCATACTCGGACATGGACACGGACACGGACAGCGACTTGGTCTTGGACATGGACATGGACGTGCCATGTGCATGTGCGGCCGATGTGGGAGAGACGAAAATCAGTTGACCCCTAGGCGCATTTGGCCCAGGCGAATACCACAAAAAAAAAACCAAAAAAAAAAAAAGAGAGAAACAACAACAACAAAATTCTACAACAAAAAGGGGGAAATCAAAAACTGAAAGAGGTTTCTCCACAGCATGCAACTGGGACCTTGTCCTGCGTTCGGTTTCGGTTATGTGCTTCAAATTCGTTTATTACAAAATCTTTTTCGAACTAATTTATTGGCTTAGGCAGAGCCAGAGAGAGAGAGAGAGACAGAGAGCCAATTGGGAGGTTTGTTTTGTTTCGGTATCTGTTTTGGTCGAGTCATTTGATTTACTCACCGTTTGGGGCAGGAGGACTCCACCGTCAATGGTGATCGTTGATCCAATGCAACAAATGGAGTTCTAGAATGATAACACAAAATAGATATTATAAGATATTGCTTAAATCACATGCTAACTAAATTCTCCTCAAAAGAGATTTCTTAATTCCAGATTTAAAAAGAAAAATGATATTTAATGGTTTTGTGTGTGTTTTAGCTTAATCTGCTTGAGTTTGCGGCCAAGATCATTACCAAAATAGCACCAAACTTCCAAAACCGTAAGGCAAACCCAAAGGCGCCCGCATAACAGTTTTTAAGTACTTAACTGACATACAATATACATATACAAAATACAAATATTTCTCATGTAACCCAACTGAAAGACTTTTTACAATTTGAAACTAATATCCAATTGCCATAGTTGAAATTTGATTTGATGAAATAATACGATTCAGTCCAAACATAAGCCAAATCAAAATAAACTGTTGCACAATGCAGACACACTTAGATAAACATAGAGCAAAACAGAGTGAGAGAGAGAGAGAGAGATGGAGAGAACGAGACATTGAGAGAGAAAGAGAGAGAGAGACACAGTACAACTGTAACTGTTACAGACACACATACAATGCAAATGGAACTCACAAAAAAGTCGGTATATTTAGGAAATGCACTTTAACTATTTTATATTAACCAGCGCGTGTGAACAACTAATTTGGAACTGTTTTTGTCTTGTGTTTATTATATATAAATATATATATATAAGTATATATATATAGTATTCGAATTGATTGTTATTTTCGATTCATTTAATTTATGCTAGCACTTAATTCTCGTTTCTAAAGTTTCAAAATTTTAGCTTAAGCGCATTGTTAATTGCAAAATGGCGTCGCACACACACACACACTACAAAATCACTTAGAATTGGTATTTCCGGTTTCCGGTTGTTGACGCGCCCGCTGTTTGCTGCCTACTAATCTCTGTGGCGCCTCTCAATTGCTTTTTACCTGACTTGCATTCGCGTCGAGTGTTCGCTATGAACTGAAATGTTGTTCGACATCCAACTGGTTTTTACCCAACCTCAAACTTGTTGGCATCAAACCAAAACTTTCGCCTTTGGGCTATGCAAACTGCAAAAGGACTGATTTGGCTTCAAATGCTTGCGAAGGGCTTAGAAAATTGCGATGAAATATGAAATCATTAAAATGTAACATATTGAATGACTAAACACAAGGTTTATGTGGAATTTCAACATTTAATAATTTGTTATTTATATATTGTATATATTATAAGTATTACATTCATCAAATGGGAAGCCCAGATCTGATTAGAATTAAAATGATATATGTATCTAATTAGACTTACAAGCAAGCTATTTATTTGAACGTGGAATATTTGAAATGGAAGCAGTTCTTGCACGCAATTAAAACATAATTATTAGCACTTAAGTCAACTAATTTCAAAATGTAAACAATAAGCTTATTAGAATTTAGCGTGGCTTGCAGTACACGTTGTCAGTTGTTGTTGGGGTTCGAGCACGGTTCGAGTTGCAAGTCGTGTTTGCTGTTGCTGTTTGACGCTTGACGTCTTCAGCGAATGGCGACCTTGGAGAGAGCAGCAGCATCAGCAGGAGACAGAGAAACAGAGAGGGAGAGCGAGTGTGAGAGAGATAAAGAGAGAGCGAGAGAGAGAGAGAGAGATAGAGAGAGAGACAAGTGACTACAACAACAAACGATTGTTTAGTTGTTGCTGCTGACTTTTCCCACCATATGACTGCCAGTTGCAAGTGCCTGTGTGTGTGTGTGATTGTGCATGTGTGTGCGTGTTTGTGTGTGTGTGTGCGTGTGTGTGTGAGTGTGTTTGCGTGCGAACGTTTAATAGTCTATTTCCGGTTTAAGTGCTGTTGTTGTTGTTGGTGTTGGTGCTGCTATTGCGATTGCTGTTACTGCGGCTGTTGCAGTTGTTGTTTGCAACTAAGCTGCCGCAATTAACTTTGTAACTGGACTTGCGTGTGGCGTGTGAAATGCTGACTGCCCTGATCGTTCTGATGGTTAATCAATGCAAAGGCAAAGTCCGTAATAGCTTTGTGGCAAATAGCATAATAGTTTATTATTATAAATAAATGTTAACTCTTAACATTTGTTGAAAGCTTTAAATTATGTTGCTACGTCTTTGAGTGTTCCGACTAACAACATTGAAAGAATATAATATTTATAAATATAATTTCAAAGTGCAGGTAATCCAAATTTTTGAACGGATTTAATAATGGTAAATGTACCATAAAATAATAAAAATGTGCAAATATTCTATTGAATTTTATCCAAAGCAGCTGCATATTTTCTACAAGCTTTATAAATAATTAGCTTAAGTTTTATCTAAATTATTCAGTTTTAGCAGCAGGCAGCTTGAGTTGGTCAGTTCACAAGATTAAGATACGTTAACTGTGCTCATTTATGTGCAAATACACAAATACATAGATATATGTATATATATACATATAAGTTATTTATATATGTACATATAAGTTGTAAGTGCCAAAGTTAGCTTTAGACTTTAGTTGCAGCTTCCGTTTTAGCGCTATGCATATGCGATTCTTTCGCTCTCTCTCTCTCTCTCTCTTTCTCTCTTTCTCCATCTCTTTTTCTCTCTCTATCTCTTTTTTAGCTGGTGTACGTGTGTTTGTGTTAATGACAAAGCATAGAACGCTGCTGTAGCCGCCGGAAGGCTCAAAACGAAATGAAACTTTGTGCGCATAGGCAACCGGCAACCGGCAGCGCCAGCGTCGCAGAGACTTTGACGCGTTGGCAAAATAAGCAGCAGCAGCAGCAGCAGCAGCGGCAGCGGCAGTAGCATCAGCATCGGCATCGGCAGCAGCAGAAATGTAGCTGGCAACAATGCCCCAGGCGAACCAGTTCCAGTTCCAGACGATGACGAGCAGAATGACGAAGCCGACGACGACGTCGGGCAGCTGAAATATTTTGTAGTTGGCCCAAGGCGATGCAAAGAAAAACTTGTGATAAATATGCCGAAGGGCATATTTCAAAGCAGCAAAAGCGCGAAAGAGAGAAAGAGAGATGGAGAGAGAGAGAGACAGAGAGAGAGAGAGAAGGAGAGGAGGAGCAGGCAGAGCGGAAGTGGAGTACAGTAGGGCTTCAGTCGTCAGGCAGCTGTAATTAAAATGAGTGCCAACTTTATGCTCCAAAACGCAATCACACAGTTACAACCCACCCCTCTGTAGCCCCAGCCCCAAACGTGCCATTACAAGCCGCACCGCCCAACCCACCCTTGCAGCACAGACACGCATTTATGTCACATCATTTTTCATTGGCAATTGTTAGTCGAGCTGCAATTGAGCCGCAGGCAAAATTAATTCTGTACATACTTCATATTTTTGCGCTATTTGCATACAAGTGGCCATTGTTGTAAGTTGCAACTTGCCACAACTACAACTAATAGCTGCATATGTGGACGATGTGTGCTTGTGTGTGCATATGAACAATACCAATGACTGTTCACTGCCCAGTGACATTTCAATTTTTCATATTTTATCGGAACAACGGGGCTGCGAAAGCGACTAACGCCAACAATGATGACGACGACGAGGACGACGACGACGACGACGAGGATGTTGCCAGTGGAAATTGTTGCAATTTTATCGCTCATTTCACTTATTGTGCCCCGGAACGAGTTTGTGAGTCAAAGCGTAGGCGAAGTAGGCGGAAACTGTGCAAAAGAGCAGTCCATTTATTGTTATACTCCTGCAAAGTGCCATAAATAGCCGGCTGACCAACTACCAAGTCAACTGCAAATCAAATAGCAATTCGTGTTTTTTATTTAATTTTTTTTTATTATCAATTTAAATCAGCTTTCGAGTTGCATTTTTAATCTTTTTGATTCAAATATAATAGCTTGAAAGTCCATTTAATTCTTGTCTTTGAGCTTACGCGATTTACATTGCATATTTAATACTCAAATGATAATGTATAATGCGCATGATAGGGTATCTGATGGTCGAGCCGCACACACTTTGCCTGACGTTTATTACTTCTTTCAGTTTTGGGGCTGAGCTTTACACACAGAGTATCAGAGCGAAGCGGGCTTTCAGTTTTTTATATTTTTGTGCCGCGATGATTTTGCCATTTTAAATATTTTTTTAATCACAAACTCACGCACACTTTCGTACTCGCACACACTGAGAAAGAGAGAGAGAGAGAGAGAAAGGGGCAAGAGAGCAAGAGAGAGAGAGAGAGAGCACTCATACATATGGCAATACCAATATTTCAAGCCAATTTGCTGCAGTTAGCCGCCAGCAACTGGCAACAAAATAATTCGACAAAATGTGCGCGGCGCGCTTTATGCTTTATTGTTTGGAACGCTGCAGGCGGGCAGGGGGGAAGTGAGCAATTGTGGGCGTGGTCACACATGCAAATGTGCATGTGTGTGTGTGTGTGTGTGTGTGTGTGTGTTTGTGTGGCGAGTCTACAAAATCAGCGTCGACAGCCAGATGTATTTCTCTCATGGTAATAATTGTTGATGGATTTTTAAAGAAGCCACAATCCACAGAGTCCATTGAGTTGCCGCCAGCCCCACTCTGCCCCACATCCGTTATGTGGCCCGCAAAATGCATATTTATTTAAGTATGTAGTTTTTTTCACTTGTGCTTGTGCATTTTGCGTGTTAATCAATATAAAATAACAAACAGCAATTGGCTGAGAACAGCGAGACTGAAATGCTTATCGACTGAAAGCACCCCCCATACGCTACAACAACAACAAAGACAACTACAACAACAACAACAACAGCAAGAGCAGCAGCAGCAGCAGCAGCAGCAACATATGCTACTGAGAATTTCCGCACTTTTTTACGCATCATTATTATTATTATTATTTATATATAGCACATACAATACATCACTTATGTGCGTGTGCGTGTGTGTGTATGTGTGCGTGTGTGTGTGTCTGTGTTTGTATACATTTGTATATATGTGTGTATATTTTTTGTATTATTAACGACACAAAAAAAAAAGGCTCATAAAATTTACAATGCCTGCCCGGAGGCCTTTTACTTAATGATGCCATTTTTGCGTTGAAAACGCTGCCTGAAAAATTCGCGTTTAATTTTTAACACACGACTGACTGCAACAACAAATATAAAAAAAAAAAAGAAAATATACAAATAAAAACAGCAAAAAGCAATACTCATATTTCACATTATATTTCAACATTTTTGAAGAAATATATATATTATTTTTTGAGTGCTCTTTTATATCGCTTATTCATTGTGTGAAATATATGATCACACAAGCTAGAAGACTGCAGTCTTCTCAGTCAACACAACTCGCAAAACTGAGTACACAGCTATAGAGAACAAAGTGCAAACTAAATCTAAAATCAATTATTAATCAAAATGACTTTGACTTTTTCATTCAATTTTAACTGTGGCGTTAAAAATAACACCTGCACTGCCAATCTAAAGAACTGGTTTCTCCAAAGGGGACATACTTTATGGGAAACTTGCGTTAATCAAATACAACAAAATGTGCCACAGCCGTCGTTTTAACTGTGGCATTAATAATAAAAAACTTTTTATCTATCTGAAGAGCTGGCTTTGCCAAAGATTACGTTTTTTATGAGCGGCTCTCATCAATGAAATAAAAAAAGTGCCTGAAAATATTGCCAACAGGCAGTA